AAATTGTTATCCCAGTAGCACTTGGTGAATAAAACATGACTAATATGCTAAAAAACTTAATAGCAAGGCTAATTAGCCATTTTTCGCAGTTATATAGACCATCAATTTTTGAACAACTATTAACATTTACAATAACACATACCTTGAAGACAATCATGAACTAATAAGTTTCGAAAAAGTGTTTGCCCTCCTACTTTTTGCCGACTATCTCTTTCTTGAAGCTCCTCTTTAATGATAAACATATTCAATTCCTGAAGTAAGAATCTACATAAACTTTCACACGACAGTAATTAAGAAATAAAGAGGCAAACAATAGATGACTAATGATTAAGCCAAAAAGTAAAGGTATTTTATATGATTAAGTGTGTACCTTTTTTGTGCATCAAATCCCCAAACCCTAATTGTGCCATCGTTGTTAGACTAAAGAGAGACAAAAAGAGTAAGTGAGCACCTAGGAAATTCAATCGGCCAACACGTTTGGGTAACCAAGCTCTTAGAAATAGAAGTGGTGTTAGGGTTTATGTTGGATGGTGGTGAAGTGTATTCACCGGCTATAAGATAGGGCAGATGGAGTGTCTAATCTTTTCTGGAGAAAAGATAATAGAGTATGGTTTACCTCATGCTATTTCTATACCTAATCCAATAGCTACGTGATAGAGAAAGAACTATGAATGACAGAGGGCATACGACAACTATAGTAATGGGAAAAGATGAGAAGGAACCGAGATTTAGGGATTTCACATTTTGAAATCCATATTTCATGGACTTTTATTTGGAAAGGAAGTTGGGAAGACGCGAAGTTGGGAAGACGCTGCAGGGAGAATATGGTAACCGAATTGCTAATTAGTAGGAGAAGATATCGATTCCTCAAAGAGGCAATGAGCGGGAAAACAATTGATAAGAAAGTTGCACTATTGACACGTGGAATGAAGGAGGTCTAAAAAAGGGACATGTGGCGTTTAAATGAGGTTTTTATTAAGTATGGAGATATCTACAATCAAAACCATAATAATTATAAATAAGTCAAACGCATTTAATATGAAAATATCCTTTAAATCATTGATGTATTTGATCATAGTATCCTTTAAATCAACATTTCAGTTTTAAAACACATTTAACCTAATATCCCTTAAAATTTGTACTTATTTTTTGAATTTATTTATCTTATACCAAGTATACATCCAACATAAGAATGCAACCCTGGAATGCATGTAAATTCCGTAACAATTAATGAATTTTATAACTTATCTGCTTCAAAAATAAAGATTTCTTTTGAATCACTTAAATCAATTAAATTTGGAAAAAATCTTCAATTATTTTATTAATTAAAATCTCATCATTTTGATTTCAGTGATAAAACTCGAACCCCAAAAAAGTATATTATGTTTGGAATTTCAAGTTCCTTTTGGCGTCTTTGTCTTTTGCTTTCGATCAAAGTCGGCACCAATGCAAAATACCCTATTCATTCACAGAAGTTCAATCCATCCGGTAAGTGTATAAAAAGGAAATTTCTTTTCACACACCAATCTATCTATACGGCAGTACACACCAATATATTTATAGGGCTTTTTAATTACTCAGTGAGTTTTGACTAATTTTGATTGGAGGCGTCTGGACACATCTTCCGCCTCTTTTATTAAAGATGACTTCCGTTTTTTCTTTTTTTGAAATTGAGCCTGAATTATTGTTGACCACCAAATGCAAGTGGAGTGATATTTGGGTTTTTCGAATTTGACTTTTTTTATCGGTGTATGTTCACAATTTACCCACTTTATTAATTATTTTTTAATTATTTTTCATTCTAAACTTAAGCTTAAAGTTAAAAAAAATTATAATTAATTGTTATCTTTTAATATTATTATTATTATTATTATTATTATTATTATTATTATTATCTAAAAAAATTCAAATTTTAGGTTATATTACACCTATAAATTTTACTGTTCATATTACATAAAAAAAACATTCACAAAAGATAAATTGTAAACTTCATATATCGCCGGAAAATATCACCGGAAATACTTTAGGAACCGAAATATCTATCGTTGGAGCCATCATTTCTTGCTGGAAATACATTATCGGAGCATTCGCTGTAAGTTCTTTCTCTTTCTCTTAACTTGTCCTAAATATTTACCTTACATTACTGGAGCATTTATGTTGCCGCCATGGATGAGAAACAAAATCAACCTGTAATTGAGTCTCTAGATTTCATGGATGAGGGCCAAGAAGATCGAATAAGTGTTTTGCTAGACTGCCTGCTTATTGAAAGTGAGTTGGCAGTTGTTCCACTAGACGCTACCGGAAACACTAGACGTTGCCGAAATGGCAAACTATGTATAAGTCGCGTCTAGAATTCTATAAGCGACTTAGACCTACGGAAAGATCTTTTATGACTATAGATGATTAGTTGTTTATTTTTGTCTCAGAATTTTGTTAGGTAATATTTAAAATTAAAAAAAAATGATGAAGATTTGTTTCTAATTTATTTTTCTTATAATATTATTTATACTATCAATGATATTACGTTGATAAAAATTTATTTAGAATTTTATTTTTTTATAATATTATTTATATTATTATATTCTAAAAATAATGTTATTATTGTTATTTATCTTAATAAAAAAACAAATTTAAAGTTATTAATATTAATAAGGTTAATAATAAAATTGTAACTATTAAATAATAAATGGTTTTTTGATTAGGTTATAATGAATAATAATAAAAGTAAGTCAAATAGTAATTATATGGTAATGATTATTTAAAAAGTAAAATCAATGATAATTATATGATAATAATAACCTAAAAAGTAAGTCTAATGGTATATGATGATAATGTAGGTTGGTATGTATGAAGTAGGACCCGTATAAAAAACTACTTTCAAATTCTTTCTTTTTGCTATGTTTCTTTTTGTGTTTTTCTTTTTATGTGTGTGTTGCTTTTTCATATTAGGTTGTATGTTTTACAGTGTGTGTGTCTATGTTACTCTATGTGTTATAGCATTTCTTCGACTTTCTCTTAAAGATGACTGTAACTGTTATATCATATATGTCTGATGTTTATCTATGTGTGTTCCTTTTTTCCTAAAAAGATGAAAATTCTATTTTATAACATCTTAGTTAACTGTTACGTGTTTGATGTGTATCTATGTGTGTTTTATATGTGTGTGTTGCTATTAAAATTATTCAAAATGACCATTATATCCATATTCAAAATATTATTCTTGGATTTGAAACAAAATCATGGTTTGTAGACTTGTAAAACAGTTAAATATGCTATAATCTTAAATTTAAGCTTCATCATTAAGGAAAGAAAGGGTAAGAGATTAATTTGCTATTATAAAGTTATAGAAATTATATCAATGTGCTTTGAAAATATGTTGTTATAATTGGTATTAATTCGTGAATTGGTCAAATAATTTGATTATTGTTGTAATGTTGTTATTAGAAACTTGAAAATCCAATTTGTTTAATGGAATGACCATTTTTACCCTTGCCACATGATTATAAGTTGTAGTATTTTGAAAAAAAAAGTTTTCATTGATAGGGACCGTTCTTGCAACTGTTATTACATACTAATTACATATACTAACTTTTTAAAATTATAGTTACGGTACCATTTATGTAAACCGTAATTTATAGGAACCATTCCTACAACTGTTAGCATCCTACTTTCATTATATGTTGTTCTATATTTAAAAAATAAATCATTGATAGGGATCATTGATGCAACTATTATTAATTACAATGTAACATCATGATTTTTCACCCCATTGTTTTTATTTTAAAAACATTTTTTAACTAGAATACGTTAGAGGAATGAATGGTTGTTTTGGTTGACTTAAAAACAAAACTTTTACTTAGTATTTTTGGGATGTTACAATATGTGTAATAGAAAAATATATCAGATTAAGTAAGTTACCCACATTGACATATTAAAGCTCATCGTCCCATATTGCCAAAACCGAACTGACTTTGGTGTTAATATAATCTTTATTGCAAGTAATTAGTGCATTGTTATATGTTATAAATTTAATTATCAAATAATAAAATGAAGTTAACTTTATGTTTCTTTTTTTTAAAATAGAACAAAAGAGATTTACTTTAATTTTGCAAAACACATATTATTTTTTAAGGTTGTTTGTAAATTGATATATAATTTACTAAATAATAAAAAATTAAAATAAATATTTATTACCATTTTAAATGGTTATAATACCATGAACCTAGAAATATGCAAGTTAATTAGAATGTTATTTGACTATTTGACAGGTAGAGTAAGATGCCCAAAAGAAAAGAAGAGCAAGAAAGCTGAAGAAGTTGCCCAATGCTAGAGAAGAGTAGCTTGTGTGGTTATTCCTTTCCCTTAGTTGGATAATTCTTCCCACATGCAACACTATTAATTTTGTAAAATATGTACTCACTGAATCTTGACCTTCACTGATGTTTATTTAGTCTCTTTTGATTTGAAAAATATGTGGTCCATTGCTTTCTTGAAAGCGCTCTTTAAGTGCATTCCATATTTCGGAAGCAATATCAAGATATATGACAAAATCAGAGATTTGTTTGAAAATGGAATTAAGGATCCAAGAAATTACAACATTATAATTTCTAAACTAGGACTTCAAAACGAACATGATCAGTAGTTGAAGGTTTTTAAATTGAATTAAGGATCCAGAAAACTACTTACATAAACAACTACCAAAATAATGTGTTGTTGTAAACCTTCAATTACATGGATAAATAATTTAGATGAAGATTCACATAAAAGCTTGAATTATGTTGGTTGTTGTATATGTGTTGAATATATTAAATTTGTAAATTTAGGTGGCCTTTGTTGTTGCTGTTCTTTCGCTAGGTAGGTGGCCTAAGACTGCAAACTTTAACTACATTCATTAAACATACTATCATTGGTCAACAATAATGAAATAAATTCAAATCTGCTTTTACTTACTTTTTTTTTCTGAATGAACATTACAAACAATTATCTAAGCAATGACTTGATGATAAAATAAGTACTTAATCTGTAACAAAAAAAAAATAATAACAAGTTGACCTTTACAATTTCTTTAAACACCAATTCACAATAAATCAAATTTGACAAAAACACAAAAATTACCAACATGCCATCAGTCATCTCATGGGCATATATATCTATCTGCCCTATCTTTATCGTTCTTTCCCCCATCATGTAAGGGTGTGATACATGTAACCATTGCAGCCCATTTTGTTGTTTATGCATCAATCAGAAGAAACAAATTAAGAATAAACAAACAAGAATCACCTATTTAATAAATCCATCTTTCTTATTATTAATGATGCCTTGTGTTTGAACTACGAATAGTCAAACCATGCAAAAGCTTGGTATATCCAAGAAAGTTAAGTTTCCCATCCGTATTTCTTATCCAATCTTTCAGTATCGCGTGTGCTGATGGGCCCACATTCATTTCCTACATATCGCCATGTCATTGTATTTATTAAGAAAATGAAAATCAAAAATTGGGTCAAGAAAAAAAAAAGATAAAAAAAAAATCACCTGTGCTAATGCATCTACTGAAATGACACGGTTTCCTTCTAGTTCGAAATAGTCGAAAGCTGTACTTGCAATCATCTCCCAATTCTCAAGAGCTTCAAGTTGATGTGGGCTAATTGCAGCAGCACAAAACTCTTCAAATCCCATTCGTGTATAAGAAAGTGGCTTCATCTTCAATCAAATAAATAAATAAATAAACCATTTTTATTAATCAATAAATGACATTATAAAACGAATAAAAATCAAGAAATCTTTATTACGGCATCCAAGATATCAAGAACCCGCGATTCTTTCATGGCAGCAGTCGAATGTTTCACCAGAGCCTTCACATTTCAATTATGTTAGTTATGAAAGTTTCACAATGAAAAAAGAGTAAATTACATTTTCGGTCAAGTATAACTGATTTTTTTTCAATTTTGGTCCTTATTTGAGGTTTTTGTAAAGTTACGGCTCAAATAAGGACCAAAATTGCAAAAATAAGCTATACCCAGAAATTGCAAAAATAAAAGGCCTCCATTAAGAACAAACTAACCATTCTAAAATTGTCGAGAGAAACACACCCATCTTTCGGTTCCAATAACTCAAACTGAGCCCTTAAGTAAACAAGCTCATCTTCGGTCAAAGCTTTCGAGAGAGCCTTGCAATAATCAATATAAACACAAAATTTAGCAAACCTTTAACTTCTAAAAATTGCTAAAAAAACAAAAAATAGAAATTCTATAATTAATAGATACCTTAAGTGCTGCGCGCTTTAAAGGCGAGGCCCGAAGATATGTTTTCACTAATTTATAAATCAAAATGTCTAGAGGAATTGCACGATTTTCATCTCTTAGCCACGGGTGAGCTGTAAAAAGTAAACACAATCAGTTACCACCACATGATAAAAAGTTACATACGTATAAAAACTGCGGAAATATTTAAAATCATGAAGATCTTACTTAAGGCTTGTGAGGCTGTCATTCTTTTTCTATGATCTTTATTGAGAAGTCTTTTGACAAAATCTTTGGCTTCTAGGGTTACAGAAGGCCAAGGTGAGTCATTAAGATTAGGATCAGCTCTTAAAACGGATCGGAAGATTCCGGATTCAGTTCTAGCAAAAAAGGGTCGGCTTCCACATAATAAAATATATGTTATCACACCAATACTCCAAATATCAGCTTCTACATTGTATGATCTATGGAGCACTTCTGGTGCTACATAATACGCGCTTCCAACAATATCATTCAGCCGTAGGTCTGTACATTAATTCACAACATTTAATCTTTTTTCTTTTTTAATAATATTTTTTTTAAAAGAAAAAAGAAACATTGTTTTCCATGTATGTGAAATAAGAAACTTGCCTGGTCTTGCATAATCAGACAAACCGAAATCTATAACCTTTAATGCCGAATCTTCCTCTCTTGTGCTAAATAGAAAGTTCTGCCCAAAACATCATTAATTAGAAGAAATGGTTTCTCAACTTCTAATATCAATCGATTTAAGAAAAACAAAATATATTATATATATACCTCTGGCTTTAAGTCACGATGCACTACACCTTGAAGATGACAAAAGGATGCTACACTCAAGATTTGTACAACTATGGATTTAGCATCATTTTCTGTATATCTTCCACCTCTGTCACATGAAAATGTTAATAAATATGTTACAGAATAAGAAATAAATACAAAAACTACGGTGTTTTAGTTATCACCTGGATAAAATCCGGTCAAGGAGTTCTCCCCCTTCACACAGCCTGTTGTAAAATATGTATTAGCTATGGAAGAATGATAGCTATCATATATGGTAAAATAAAAGGAAGATGATATATACGTACTCCATAACTATGTACACGTTCTGATCATCTTCAAATGCATCATGGAACTGGACCATGTGTTGATGTCCAGATAAGCCCTTTAATAACTTTACCTCCCTACGTACATCTTCAATTGATATGGCTGTTGTCATCTGGTAAAAGAAAAGAATATATCTAACCCTAAGTTCGATTTTGAATCAAATTTCAAAACTTGATCACCATCAACGTGCAAGACACAAAGAGAAGTGTAGATTACTGAATTGAGTGAAGAACTAAAGAATGTGAATCAAGGGCACCTTAGCTTTTGAAATGATTTTTACAGCAACGGGTTGATTCTTGAGAGCTCCCTTTTTGCCCTTTGCCCAACAAGTATGCCCGAAATGCCCTCTTCCGATCTCCTTCCCCAACTCATACTTTGACCCGAAATTCCTCTGGTACCCGAAACTCTTATCCAACGCTCGTTCTCCCTCTCCGCCTTCATCTTCCGGTATCGTTCCCGTCGCTGCCGTGTTCCCTTTTCCCTTTCCGTTACCCTGCCGTTTCATAATCGCCGACATGATCGGCTTCGCCGGAGACGGAGGTGGGAAAGGCCACTTGAACATCCGCCTCGGCGTCCTCGCCGGTGATGGCGTCGGGGGTACCCCCGCGGGGTACGTACTGTGCCATGGGCTTCCGGTGAAAGAATGACTCGGAGTATTGGTGCTAGACCTCCCGTTGGTACCGTTGCCTACGGCAGGAGACGGTGTACGCGGTTTTGGGGTACGCGGTCTGTTGGGGACGGTGGATCCGGCGTTATTGTCGTCCTCTTTGACAGCCGAGTCTGCGACGGCGTCTTTGCTACAGCAATGTCCCATCAAGGGCTAGCTAGGATTTAGTCTTTTTTCCGGTGGAAGATCGTTTCAAAACTCAAAAGTCCACTGATAGGTTGTTACGACAATTTCATAGTCATCACCAAACGTAGATTGGTGAACATTAAATATATATTTTGAGTGTTTTATATGTAGACGTAGATGATTACGAGAGAGAAAGAGAGAGATACAGAAAATTCAAATGGTTTAAAATCTACAAGGGTTTGATTTTCGATTTGAGAATTAACAGTAAGCAGACGAGTTAAACCAGTCAAGATTTATAAAGCCGTAAACTTTGAACAAGCAAACGTTACCACCATCTTACAAACCCCCAATCCTCACCGTCCGATCTTTATTTAATCTTGACAAAATTGCAAAAATGGTCCCTGTGCTATGCAAATTTTTGGGGTTTTACTCCAAACCACGACTTTTTGGATTGGTGGTCCTTTTGAGCTAGTTTCATTGCGTTTTTTGTCCCTCTAAATAGTGAAATGACTGTAATACCCTTAGGTTATTTATTTTTCATTTTTTTTTTATTTTCTTTCATTTTTTTTTAAATCTAAATACTTATTTATTTATTTAACTAATTAAAAAAATAAAAGTCTCTCTCTCTCTCTCTCTCTCTCTCTCTCTCTCTCTCTCTCTCGTATACCCATTTCTTTCTTTCGTTCCCGATTTCAACGAGCAAGAAGGGGCTGCTACATCCGGCAATCTGGAGATAGCCACCGCACCACCTGCTAGCCTCCATTCGACCACCAAACTCCACCGTGAACCGCTACATCTCCGCCCACCATAGAACCATTCCAGCCTCACCCCATTTCTTTTTCTTTTCTGTTGATCTGAGCAACCCCAAACAAACCCCAATCCTTGCTCCCTTTTTCCTCTTCGATCACCCTTGTATTGGGAAGACGGAAGCAACGAAGCTGCTGTGCTACCACTACTCGCCGCCGTTGCTGTGGTGGGCAGTCCCCACCACCACCTGTCACCGCCCACAGATCCAGATGCAGGTATCCGGTGGGACGACTTTAAACCCAAAAGAAACTTGAACAGACTTACCAATGGCAGCAAGGCGATGGTGGCGGACTGCAGTGGTGGTGGGATGTAATGGTGGTCGACGGTAGCTCCGACTGCTTCGTTTTCTTGCTGCTCCGATGAGTTCGATGAGGGGTCAAGAGGAAGCAGCAGCTGACGACGGCGGAGCTTCACAGTAACGGAGACGTGGTTGCACTGAGCGATAATGTAGGCGAGTGGTGGAGTTCCAGCGGCTTCTGTTGCTTTGTTTACAGCTTACCCTCTACGGGGATTGGTGGTGATCGAATTCGGTGATCGAATTCGGTGACTAGTGATGGTTGGAGTGCCCTGACAACAGCAGCTTGGTGGTGGCGGTGATGGCCGGAACTCCACAGCATTAGCGACGGTGGGTAGTCGTGGGTGGCTGCCCTTAGCGGTTCTTGTTCCCTTCTTCGTTTTATGAGCAGCAGGTCTTCGAGAGGAAGAGTGTAGAAGGATAAGGTTGGATGAGAGAGAGAGAGTGAGAGAGAGAGAGGTGGGCCCCAAATTAGGTAATTATTTTATTTTTCATTTAAATTAAATAGAAAAAGCATAAAAAAATATATCAGAAGGGCATAATATTCTTTTCAGTTTACTGAGAGACCAAAAACGCAAAGAAACTAGCTCAAAAGGACCAAGAATCCAAAAAAATCATGGTTTGAACTAAAACCCCAAAAATTTGCATACCACAGGGACTATTTTTGCATTTTTGTCTTTAATCTTTCATTACTTAATTTTAGATCATCTATTTTTACATTCTCAAAAATAAATTTAACCTCTTCCTCTTTAAAAAAAAAAGGTTTTTAATTAAATATACTTATTAATATTAAAATTCTAAAAATCAAATTAATTTTTTTTATATAATGATTCATCTATAAGTAAATAAGTATTATTGATGATATTACATTTTAGCTTATTTTTTCTTATAAACATAATATACGGTGTTCACATTATACAGATTAATTTTAAAAAATTAATAAAGTATGATTTGACTATTAAACAAAGTACCAATAGTGTATGAATCATGCACATTTAGGTTGTATACACATTTAGGTTGCTTACACATTTAGGTTGTATACGATTTGGCTTTTTGAGTTCTATATTTATAAATTATGAATTTGTGCTACATTCTTAGAAAGATGATATCTCTTATCATATATCCTTAATAAACGTCACCTCGGCTAAGGTTAAGCGGTGTCCTACAGGTTTTGTCATCAGTAATCCGATGTGGTAGATGTTACCGGCGGAAAATATCGTGCATTGTTTTTTTTTTTTTGCCGGCGGTGGAAGTTCACCGATGTCTCTCTCCTCTTCTACTGTCTAAACTCTCCACTTTTCTCTCATTTTCCTACCTTATTTTGCCAAGAACACCACATCCTAATCCTCAAAAACTCATAGGCAAAACATAAAAATCTAGATGGCATCGGTTTGCCACCGGTAAAAAAAAACACGAGACCGTACAACCTAAATAGGTAAGTAAGGACGGTATTAGGCTGGAGGGAGTGGCCCTCGCTAGGGACTCGCCTCCAGCTCGCCAAACTCGTTTCCTCCACTCCTTACAAAGTCGCTACTTGTCTCACTAACAATTGCTCGTTAACCCGGCAGCGAGAAGAAATAGGAAGAGAAAGGGAAGACAAATAGATATGATTGGCGGAGAGAGTTTTTCTCTGGGAGGAAGAAGACACAGAATTTACAATTTGGCATTTTTGATCCCTTTATTTTGACCTTATGACAGATTCGACCTTAATTTACAATTTCTTTTACAATATAAATTTTCAGAATCAGCACAAAACCCCCTGAAAAATCTTATTGTAACTTTTTAAATTTAATATCAAATGTTTGTGTTTTAGAAAATATAATTTATTTGGTATTAATTTTTTGTGGTTTAAAAAAATAAAATTTATTTAATATTAATTGTTTGTGTTTAAAAAAAATATTTTAATTAAATTTGAAAAAGAAAAAAAAAATTGGAGTACTAGGAGTGTTACCACTCCCTACCAAATGCTAAGAATAAGGTTCTAAGAAAAAAAAATAACATGGCACCTAAAAAGATGATGTGGCAAGGTGTTAGGAGTGTTACCACTCCTCCTAGCCTTATGCATTCATTAGAATGGTATTTTTTTTATTTGTACTTTATCCACAATAAAATATTTGTAAGGATATTACAAGTTCAAACAACATAACCACCCTTGAAAATTTATGCATCAAAACACATTATTTGTAAATTTGTCGGGAAGTATAAAAAATCATGTCCTTCTGGTTGTTATCGAATAAATTACCAACAATACATACAATGACTCTCGTTATGGTTTCTCATCAACCATAATAAATTCCTAGCAACAACCACCATCAATTTGTATAACAACAAATTCATGCTCTCTTTTATCTCAAACCATATATATTCACACAAAATGAATTCAATCTATCATTAATTGGGATTTAATTTAAGGTTTTGATTACAAATCATGTACTAGGGACATCAAAAACATTTTGGGAGGGATAGATTTATCAAATGATGGCATTAATATAGAGAATGAAAACACGATATACATGAAAGATATGTGATCATCACAAGGCTTTGGTTTGTGAGTTTGCAAGTCTCAAATTGATTTTCATTCACACTTGGTGTTCATATGCCCATTCACACTTGGTTTGTCATGGAAGTCGTGGTTTACCTAGCTAAGAAAGGAATGATCGTATCTTCAAGAATAATCCTATGTTCAAGAAGAATTTTGTAGTCGTCGGGGTCTTAGCCCACAACAATACGGCATAAATATGGAAGATGTCTACTCGATCAAGCTCGTAAAGAAGGTTCTCAGAGGTAGTTTGTCCCTTTGTATATAACCGAATTCTCATGTTACTTAATTGCTAAAAGGTTCTCAAGGTAGTTTGTCCTTTTGGAATGTCAATTAACAATAAAATGTCGTGGAAGGATGAAAAAAATGTCGTGGAATAATAAGCGCCCTTTTGATTATATGATATCTAATGTTTTTAACTTTAATCTCGTTTAAAATATTTCCATATTGATATCAATATCGTTAAGGATAAAAATCTAAAATCCTATGTAATTTTTTTTTTTTTGTATCTAATGATCCTGTAATTATTATTTAAATCATTTTTATTAAGTTTCTTATAATATCTCTAATTTCATTAATTATAAGTGTTGTTTTTTTATATGTCCTTAGGATCTCGAATATATAGTCAATTCTATGGTTAATGTAAAATTACACTCTTGTAATCTTTATGGTTCAACGATTTATTGATACTCGTCAAACTTTAACGCATTCGTCATCGATCATCGCCAACAACACTTATTATATTGTTTCCAACAACAACAACAACCATGTAAACCCTTCACAGTGATTAACTTAGACAACGCCACCAAGCTTGTCCGAGAAACTGCATTCATGGAAATCTAAAAAACAAACAACCCTCACGAGCTATGATTTATATAAACTCGTGGATTGCTATCATCCACCACCTCCCCCACTAATTACAACACCACACACACCACAAATCCTGCCAACTCAATGTGGTGCATCAAGATAAACTCATATTTGATGATCTTCTAGGAACCCTCTCAACCACGTGTATAGTGTGCAATGAGGATCGTAGATAAGGGAAACGAAAACTGTGATGATTCCCAAAACCCGATAGATATAGAAAAAGGTATGTCGTTTATATGAGTATATATTTGCATTTATAATATATGACTATTTATCAAAATAACATATTTGTAGAAATCGAAAAATATACAATAGAAACTATTATGCACGAAAAAAAGAAAAACAAAATGAGAATGATAGCTAACGGTGAAGGATGTAGTCAACTTACAACACTCACAAGTTGCACTACAATGGAGACAAACGAAACAAATATCAACGAAGATTCCTCTGTGAGTGTTATAAGTGCAGCTCAGAGGACGAGTATAATAAAGAATATTATAAACGAAGAAAGGAACGAACTATGATGACAAAAAGAAGAGTATACGCCTTTCAGGAGGATCCATATGATTTTGTTTACGAAAACATTCGTATGGAACATCGTATATTAAAGGCTCAAAACCCTTGTGTTTATTGTGGAGCAAAGCTACTACAATATGAATTCCCTACCTTTTGTTGCATGAATGGAAGACAAAACTGGCATACTCCCCTATTCCCACAGAATTGCACCAAATCTTCACAAGGCAAGAGCAGCTAGAAGAAAGCTTCAGGTACAATTGTAACGCCCCGTTTAATTAATAAATAAATTAACTAATTAATAAATGTAATTCCCGGACTAAATTGTGAAGAATTTTGATAGTTGGGGGGTTGTTTAGTAAGTTACGGAGTTGATTTTAGAAGGATTTTAGAAGCAGAGGTATGTTTGGTAATTATTGGATTTATTTTGAAAATGATTTCGGAAGTCAGGGTGCATTTGGTAATAAATGGACTTAAATTGAAAGATTGAAGGCTTAGGGGGGTGATTGGTAATTCCGGGACCTTATATGAAAGGACTTTTGAAGTCAGGGGCTAAAGGGGAAATTTCGGATTCAAATTGACAATGATTTTGGGAGGAGGGACTGAACCTGTAAAGATGCATGAATGTTTGAAAGAGAAGCACGGGTTATACCCGACTTTCCTTCCCCGTCATTTAACCCTAAACCTAGGAACACCATTCTACAGCCGCCACCCTCAAAGAACTCCTCCAACCGCCGCTGCATCACCGAGTCTGTTGCCGCCGTTAACTCATCATCGGAACGCCACGCGACCGTCGGACGTCGGGAGCAAAGCTGAAACGTCACGTGGATCGCCGGAGTGTGTGGATTAGTGTCTAAGTCCATAACTATTTTGGTATGTACTTGACCCGATTGTGAGCATGGTCCTTTTGGGTTGCCTTCACCATAGCAATATGTAGGATGAATTAAGGAGAGAAAGGTTTAATTATGATTTATTAATATTTATAAGAATATATATTAAAGGAGAAATCATATTGGTTATTAATATTAGTCAAGAATTAATTAAGAATTAATTTTGTGACTAAAAGAGATTAATTAAACTTAGGGGACTGGAATTGTAATTATAGGATAATTGCAATTGGGCTATGGATCACCTTGGAATAATAGGTTGGACGAATTCTATGGGGAAGCCCATTAGAAATCGTCCAAGGCATGTTCCAGAAGGGGTTCATGGGCTGCTTAGGGCTTAAGCAGTCAAATTAGGGTTTCCTTGTTGGATAACCCTAATAGCCTAAGTATATAAGGAACCCTTGGGCACCAAAAACGTGGCTAACACTGGGATTAGGGTTTCCAGCTGTTTTTGGTGTCTCATTCTCTTCTCTCCTTCATCCAATTGCTTAGTGGTGTTTGTGACTCCATTAGAGGTGCAACACTTGAGGCACTAAGCTTTCTGAAGCCAAGGATTGATTGTTATTGCTATATAACAATCAAAGGTTAGATCTAAACCATATTTTATGTTAATATGATTAATTGTATGCTAGATCTAGGGTTTATAGTTTTGGATATTCAATTGCATGTTCATTAGACAAACTAGATCTAAAAGCTATTAGGGTTTGCATGTACACCATAGGAATGATGTATTGCTCGAAACCCATCAGTGGTATCAGAGCCTAGGGCTGTTTGTTAGTGAATTTGATGCTTGTTTGATCGATTTTTGCATGAAAAACAAAGTTTTTTGCCTTCTGAATCTCCGACTCGGCGAGTCAGTGGATGAACTCGGCGAGTCAGGCCGACTCGGCGAGTCCAGTCCTGACTCGGCGACTCTATGGATCTGGCAACGTTTTTTGGCGATTTTGTTGCTGTTTTGGCTTGGGATACTTACCATAAACGTTTTTAATTCATAAAATCCGATTTTTATTGATATTGGGTGATTATCCTTACCAAAATAGAAGATAATTGTCAAAATTTAGATAATCTTTTGTTATTAGATAAAGATTGATTATTTGTAATTTAGATTTGAATTATCTTGTGAAAAAGTTTCAATTTTTCCCCTTTAGGTTTATAGTTTAAATTTGAACTAAAAGTTTTGTTTTTGAAATTTGAATAGTTAAACCCTAATGTTTTGAAAT